AGCCACAGTAAGGTCACAGACAAAAATGAATATCTGAAACAGGTTCTAACTCTTTTCCACACTATCCAAAACTAGTTGGAGTTGAGCTATATGAGGTATTTGCTATCTTTTGTGTTTCAAGTTTTCAGCTCAGCAGCAAGTGTAAAGATTTTCAGTTTGCTGCTCACAGCCAGTGACAGTGTTTCCAGTTTCCTGGTCACAGGCAGCACCAGTGTTTCCAGTTTGCAGATCACAGAAAATGCCAGTGGTTCCAGTTTGAAAATCACAACCAGTGCCAGTGTTTCAAGTGTTGCTGATTGTAGCCAGTGCCATTGTTTCCATGGTCAGTCTTTGCAGTCAGTACCAGGGTTTCCAGTTTGCTGATCACAGGCAACAAGAGTGTTTCCAGTTTGCAGATCACAGCAAGTTCCCATGGATCCAGTTTGCAGATAACAGCAAGTACCAGTGGTTTCCATTTGCAATTCACAGCCAGCACAAGTGTTTCCAGTGTTGATGATTGTAACCAGTGCCAATATTTCCATTACTACTGTTTGCAGCTAGTGGCAGTGTTTTCCTTTTCTACATATTTTTTACTGTATTGCTCCAGTGTTTAAAACAATGCAAAATGATGAAGAGATGTATAGGATGTTCCCAAAGTCTGGACACATAGGAAATATCACTATATGTGTGTATGTGTATATATATATATATACCGTATTTTCCGGCGTATAAGGCAACTGGGTGCATAAGACGACCCCCTAATTTTCCAGTTAAAACATAGGTTTTGGGCTATACTCGCCGTATAAGACTACCCCCCTTCTCAGGCAACACCATTTAAAAACATACAGTATACCGCGCTGAGCCAAGCTGGCTCAAAACAAATGTCCCTATGACAGATGAATCTGTCAGCCTGCTGGATATGCGGTATATACAGTATACTGAGCCAAGCTGTTTCAAAACGTACCGGTATGTCCCTACTTTAATCAATCCGCTGGATGTGTGTATGTACGGTAGCTGCGGCTACATACAGTATACACTGGGCCAATCACAGCGAGCGATGTATTCTACTAATGAAGCCTGCTCGTATTGGCTGAGGTTGTGACATCACCAGCCCACCTCTCTGACTCAGCCAATCCGAGCAGGCTTTGTATTCATTAGTAGAATACATCACTCTCCGTGATTGGCCCAGTGTATACTGTATGTAGCCTCAGCTACCGTACATACACGCATCCAGCGGGCTGATTACAGTAGGGACGTACCGATACATTTGAAAACCGCTTGGCTCAGCGCAGTATTGTCAGGGCTCCGGGGTGTGACCAGAGGTATGTGACTGACGCAGGGAAACGCAGGCTTCAGATAAGTTATAAACAATATAATTTTATTAAAGACTAACAATACAAACATAAACGCAGTGCAATACTAAAACATAACACAGTGCAAACGAACCAAACCAAACCACCCCCACAGATAACAGTACATACAATGCAAGCATCGTCAGGCAGGCCAGGTCAATAACAATCGGGCAGGTAGGTACAGGGGGTCAGGCAGAGAATGGTCAGGGTCACAAGCCAGGGATGAAACAGGAGAAGTCAGCAGAGGTCCGGATCAGGCAGGGTCAGCAACGAATCAGTCAGACAGGGACAGGAACAGGAATGCAGGAACAAGATACAGGGCCCAGGAAAAACACACACCAAGGCAGAGACTGCAGGTCTGGCCATCCCTTAAATACACCTGCATGATCAACTTCAGGTGTTTGGCTGGCTGCAGGGTTGAGTTTCTGATTGCCGGGAGCACCCGCTGGCCAGCCCTGGTACTGCAGCCCACAAGGCAGGTGGGTCCCACCATTACTGGCAAGTCCATTCCTGACAGTACCCCCCCTCAAGGAGCGGCCTCAGGATGCTCCAAACAGTCCTAGCTGGGCAAAATGTTCCACCGCCCGGGTCTGGTAACTGGCGGGATATCAAAGACTGGCACATCGGGCAGGACTCCGGGCAGCGGCACACCGGGCAGGACTCCGGGCAGGACTCCGGGCAGCGGCACACTGGGCAGGACTCCGGGCAGCGGCACACCGGGCTGGACTCCGGGCAGAGGCACACCGGGCTGGACTCCGGGCAGAGGCACACCAGGCTGGACTCCGGGCAGAGGCACATCGGGCTGGACTCCGGGCAGAGGCACATCGGGCAGGACTCCGGGCAGCGGCACATCGGGCAGGACTCCGGGCAGAGGCACATCGGGCTGGACTCCGGGCAGAGGCACATCGGGCTGGACTCCGGGGAGGCACACACCGGGCAGGACTCCGGGCAGAGGCACACCGGGCTGGACTCCGGACAGAGGCACATCGGGGCTGGACTCCGAGCAGGGCACATTGGGCTGGACTCCGGGCAGACACATTGGGCTGGACTCCGGGCAGAGGCACATCGGGCTGGACTCCGGGCAGAGGCACATCGGGCTGGACTCCGGCAGAGGCACACCGGGCAGGACTCCGGGCAGAGGCACATCGGGCAGGACTCCGGGCAGAGGCACATCGGGCTGGACTCCGGACAGAGGCACATCGGGCTGGACTCCGAGCAGAGGCACATTGGGCTGGACTCCGGGCAGAGGCACATTGGGCTGGACTCCGGGCAGAGGCACATCGGGCTGGACTCCGGGGAGAGGCACACCGGGCAGGACTCCGGGCAGAGGCACACCGGGCTGGACTCCGGACAGAGGCACATCGGGCTGGACTCCGAGCAGAGGCACATTGGGCTGGACTCCGGGCAGAGGCACATTGGGCTGGACTCCGGGCAGAGGCACATCGGGCTGGACTCCGGGCAGAGGCACATCGGGCAGGACTCCGGGCAGAGGCACACCGGGCAGGACTCCGGGCAGAGGCACATCGGGCAGGACTCCGGGCAGAGGCACATCGGCCTGGACTCCGGGCAGAGGCACATCGGCCTGGACTCCGGGCAGAGGCACACATCGGGCAGGACTCCGGGCAGAGGCACACCGGGCAGGACTCCGGGCAGAGGCACACCGGGCTGGACTCCGGGCAGAGAGGCACATCGGGCTGGACTCCGGGCAGAGGCACATCGGGCTGGACTCCGGGCAGAGGCACATCGGGCTGGACTCCGGGCAGAGGCACATCGGGCTGGACTCCGGGCAGAGGCACATCGGGCAGGACTCCGGGCAGAGGCACATCGGGCAGGACTCCGGGCAGCGGCACATCGGGCAGGACTCCGGGCAGGACTCCGGGCAGAGGCACATCGAGCTGGACTCCGGGCAGAGGCACATCGAGCAGCAGGCACCGGGCCACCAGGCGGAGCAGCAGGCACTGGGCCACCAGGCGGAGCAGCAGGCACCGGGCCACCAGGCGGAGCGGCAGGCGCCGGGCCACCAGGCGGAGCGGCAGGCGCCGGGCCCCCAGGCGGAGCGACGGGCGCCGGGCCCCCAGGCGGGGCGCCGGGCCCCCAGGCGGAGCGGCGGGCGCCGGGCCCTCAGGCGGAGCGGCAGGCGCCGGGCCCCCAGGTGGGGCAGCAGGCACCGGGCCCCCAGACGGCCCAGCCCGATGGGCAGAGGCACATCGGGCTGGACTCCGGGCAGAGGCACATCGGGCAGGACTCCGGGGAGAGGCACACCGGGCAGGACTCCGGGGAGAGGCACACCGGGCAGGACTCCGGGCAGCGGCACACCGGGCAGGACTCCGGGCAGCGGCACACCGGGCAGGACTCCGGGCAGAGGCACATCGGGCTGGACTCCGGGCAGAGGCACATCGGGCTGGACTCCGGGCAGAGGCACATCGGGCTGGACTCCGGGCAGAGGCACATCGGGCTGGACTCCGGGCAGAGGCACACCGGGCAGGACTCCGGGCAGCGGCACATCGGGCTGGACTCCGGGCAGAGGCACACCGGGCTGGACTCCGGGCAGAGGCACACCGGGCTGGACTCCGGGCAGAGGCACACGGGCTGGACTCCGGGCAGAGGCACATCGGGCTGGACTCCGGGCAGAGGCACATCGGGCTGGACTCCGGGCAGAGGCACATCGGGCTGGACTCCGGGCAGAGGCGCACATCGGGCTGGACTCCGGGCAGAGGCACATCGGGCAGGACTCCGGGCAGCGGCACATCGGGCAGGACTCCAGGCAGCGGCACATCGGGCAGGACTCCGGGCAGCGGCACATCAGGCAGGACTCCGGGCAGGACTCCGGGCAGAGGCACACATCGAGCTGGACTCCGGGCAGAGGCACATCGAGCAGCAGGCACCGGGCCACCAGGCGGAGCAGCAGGCACCGGGCCACCAGGCGGAGCAGCAGGCACCGGGCCACCAGGCGGAGCGGCAGGCGCCGGGCCCCCAGGCGGAGCGGTGGGCGCCGGGCCCAGGGAGGCGGAGCGGCAGGCGCCGGGCCCCCAGGCGGGGCAGCAGGCACCGGGCCCCCAGACGGGGCGGCAGGCACCGGGCCCCCAGGCAGGGCGGCAGGCACCGGGCCCCCAGGAGGAGCGGCAGGTGCCGGGCCCCCAGGAGGAGCGACGGGCGCTAGGCCCCCAGGCGGAGCGGCGGGTGCCGGGCCCCCAGGCGGAGTGGCGGGCACTGGGTCATCAGGCACGACAACGGGCATCGGGTCACCAGGCATCAGGTCATTTGGCTCGCCAGCGGGCACCGCGTCATCTGGCAAGGCAGTGGGCACCGAGTCACCAGGCACGACAGTGGGTTCCGAGTCAACTGGCATGACCACGGGCACTGGGTCAGACATTGGATCGTCTGGCTCGACAGCGGGCATCGGGTCACCAGGCATCAGGTCATTTGGCTCGACAGCGGGCACCGCGTCATCTGGCAAGGCAGTGGGCACCGAGTCACCAGGCACGACAGTGGGCTCTGAGTCAATTGGCACGACAGCGGGCACCGGGTCATCAGGTACTGGATCGTCTGGATCGACAGCAGGCACCGGTCATCTGGCGTTGGATTGTCTGGCTCGACAGCGGGCATCGGGTCACCAGGCATGACAGCGGGCACTGGGTCACCAGGCATCAGGTCATTTGGCTCACCAGCGGGCTCCACGTCATCTGGCAAGGCAGTGGGCACCGAGTCACCAGGCACGACAGTGGGCTCCGAGTCAACTGGCATGACCGCGGGCACTGGGTTAGACATTGGATCGTCTGGCCCGACAGCGGGCATCGGGTCACCAGGCATGACAGCGGGCACTGCGTCATGAGGCATGGGATTGTCTGGCTCGACAGCGGGCATCGGGTCACCAGGTATGACAGCGGGCACTGGGTCACCAGGCATCAGGTCATTTGGCTCGCCAGCGGGCACCGCGTCATCTGGCAAGGCAGTGGGCACCGAGTCACCAGGCACGACAGTGGGCACTGGGTCAGACATTGGATCGTCTGGCCCGACAGCGGGCATCGGGTCACCAGGCATGACAGCGGGCACTGGGTCATCAGGCATTGGATCCTCTGGCTCGACAGCGGGCATCGGGTCACCAGGTATGACCGCGGGCACTGGGTCATCAGGCATTGGATCGTCTGGCTCGACAGCGGGCACTGGGTCATCAGGCATGATAGGATCATCAGGCTGGATCAGTTCATCAGGCTGGGTACAGACATCAGGCTGGGTACAGGCATCAGGCTGGGTACAGGCATCAGGCTGAAGTGCGGGTGCTGAGGCACCAGGCTGAACCACGGAAGGCAGGTTCTCCGGTTTGGATACTGGCAGGATGGTACTGGTTGGAAAGAATTTCCGCTTTTTTCTGCAAACGAATGGAGCAGCTGAGGACAGAGAAGAGCTGGAAGATGGCACAGAGGAGGGAGCAGTTGCTACAGAGGACTTCTTTACAGGGTTAAAGAAAGGATAGGTGCAGCGAGTGGGAGCAGAGGACTGGTATGTGGTAGTTAGAGTATACTGGGCAGTCACTGGGGGTGCTGTCGGGGATGCAGGAAGAGTGCCTTGAGTGGAGGAATGATGTTGTAAGCTGACTGAGGCTGGGTGCAACAAGTCTGACCATGTCTGCAGTATGGGTTGAACGAAGCTCAGTTTACACAAAGCCTGTCTGGTCAATGACTGCACTGCGTTTATACAATCTCTTAGTATCTGTGGTGAACATGCAGAGTAACGCTCCAGAAAGTAATCCACATCATCCTCTAATAACCATACCAGGGACTCTACCTGGTCGGCACTAAATGGCGGAAAAAATTCATCCCTGCATTCGGGGGTACCAGATGAAACCAACTCAGCACAAACCTGAATCAATGGCTGCACCTCAGAGAATTCTGTGCCCTGATCTACTAGAACATGAGCGATCCGTATACACTCTAGTAGTTGATCCCTGGGATACTCCTTCAGAGTCTGATAAGCATATTCTCTGTCATCAAACACTAGCAGAGATAAATACACAACCTCATCCAGATCCATCCTTCCCAGCAACAAGCCAAGATGGCTTCCCTGTGCAGCCACTTCTGGTCAGGATTGGCCTTGGTGTAATGTCAGGGCTCCGGGGTGTGACCAGAGGTATGTGACTGACGCAGGGAAACGCAGGCTTCAGATAAGTTATAAACAATATAATTTATTAAAGACTAACAATACAAACATAAACGCAGTGCAATACTAAAACATAACACAGTGCAAACGAACCAAACCAAACCACCCACAGATAACAGTACATACAATGCAAGCGTCGTCAGGCAGGCCGGGTCAATAACAATCAGGCAGGTAGGTACAGGGGGTCAGGCAGAGAATGGTCAGGGTCACAAGCCAGGGATGAAACAGGAGAAGTCAGCAGAGGTCCGGATCAGGCAGGGTCAGCAACGAATCAGTCAGACAGGGACAGGAACAGGAATGCAGGAACAAGATACAGGGCCCAGGAAAACCACACACCAAGGCAGAGACTGCAGGTCTGGCCATCCCTTAAATACACCTGCATGATCAACTTCAGGTGTTTGGCTGGCTGCAGGGTTGAGTCTCTGATTGCCGGGAGCACCCGCTGGCAAGCCCTGGTACTGCAGCCCACAAGGCAGGTGGGTCCCACCATTACTGGCAAGTCCATTCCTGACAAGTATACTGTATATACCACACATCCAGTGGGCTGACAGATTAATCTGTTATAGGGACATTTGTTTTGAGCCAGCTTGGCTCAGCACGGTATACTGTATGTACAGTATTACCACACATCCAGCCAGCTTGACCCAAACAAACTCAAGGTTCACATTTTATACCCCGCGTATAAGATGACCCCCAATTTTTGGGGTATATTTTTAAGTATAAAAAGTAGTCTTCTATGCCAGAAAATACTGTATATGCTATCCAGACCTTAACCCCCTTGACTTTTTTGGGGGTATGCTAAAGGAGAAGGTGTATTCAATGAAAACTACAGATATGAATCACCTGAAGGAATGCATCATGAACAAATGTGTTAAAATGTATGGAAATGTGGAGTTACTGCATTGAGTTCATGTGAATCTTGCAAAGCACATGGAACTTCACATTACAAATTAGGAAAATCACATTCAAGATGTTATTGTTATTTCAATGAAATAAAATGTTTTTGAAAGATTTATTGAAAATATGCATTTTGTGTATGTGTCCAGACTTTAGGGACACACCCTGTTTAACCACTTGCCCTCCAGAGAATTTACCCCCCCCCTTCCTGACCAGGCCATTTTTTGTGATACGGCACTGCGTTACTGACAATTATGCGGTCATGCAACGCTGCACCCAAATGAAATTTATGTCCTTTTTTTTTTCCCCACTAATTTATCTTTCTTTCGGTGGTATTTGTTGCCTGTGCATTTTTTATTTTTTGCGCTATAAACAAAAAAAGACTGACAATTGTGAGGAAAAAAGCAATATTTTTGACTTTTTGCTATCAAATATGTCCAGTAAAAAAAAATTTAAAAATCAAATTTCGGCATACATTTAGGCCAAAATGTATTCTGCTACACGTCTTTGCTAAAAAAAAGCCTAATACGTGTAAATTAATTGGTTTACGTGAAAGTTAGTGTTTACAAATGGCGGTGTATATGCTGGGATTTTTTCTTTTTACTAGTAATGGCAGCAATCAGCGACTTATAGTGGGACTGCAGCGGGCATTCTGACACTGGGGGGGACTGACTTGGTGACATCCCCAGTGACACCAATACAGTGATCAGTGCTAATAAAAAGCACTGACATTGTACTAATGGCACTGGGCAGGAAGAGGTTAATATCTGGGGCGATCAAAGGGTTAACTGTGTGCTGTTCCACTATGTGGGCTGTGTGTGTGCTTCACTGTAAGTACACTGCTTTGTATGGCTCTGCTATTTTTGAGGGGAACCCCCGATTGAGGGGAACCCCCACGCCAGCATTTAAAAAAAAATGGTGTGGGCCCCCACCCCCCCAAAATCCATACCAGGCCCTTATCCGAGCATGCAGCATGGCAGGTCAGGAAAGGGAGGGGCAAATGAGCAGCCCCCCTCCTGAACCATACCAAGCCACATGCCCCCAACATGGAGGAGGTGCTTTGGGGCAGGGGGGCTTCCCCCAAAAGCACCTTGTCACCATGTTGATGGAGACAAGGGCCTCTTCCCCACAACCGTGGCCAGTGGTTGTGGGGGTCTGCGGGTGTTGGTCTTATCAGGATCTGGAAGGCCCCTAATCCCTTCCTCCCATGTGAATACGTATGGGGTACATGGTACCGCTATTCATTCACAAGAAAAAAGGGTAGTGTAAAAAATGACAGAAGCCAGTCTTTGAAAAGTCCTTTATTAAAAACAAAAATAAAAAAACTGTCCCCCGAAGTAGATCCACAGTCAATCACAATGGCCAAAACCACCGCCGACCAGGGGCAGACTGACCATTTGGGAACACGGGCACTGCCCGAGGGCCCGGGGTCAGTAGGGGGCCCCATGAGATGCCCCTGGTACCTTTCATAGGATTTTTTGGGTGTGGTTTAAGTGTGGGCAAGGACACAGGGGTCCCATGATCCCCTATTGCCTGGGGGCCTCATGAGTTGTCAGTCCACCCCTGCGCCGAAAAAAGCAAAAAAATATGCTGCTCTCAACGCTGGCTCCCACCATCTGACAGCTGCGCCACAATGACAGTTCTTAAATACTGTGATGACGTCACACTACTGTGATGCTGTCATATGATCATATGCTGTGGTCAGGTGCATTGCTGTGATCAATCACAATGCACTGTCAGGGCGCAGCAGGCATAGAGACAAACACATGAACAGCTGATGTTCGAGCTGAACTTAAGTTCCACTCGAACATCAAGCCCAACGCTAATCACTGTATCATAGTATTAAAACATTTCTCTGTCTGGCTCTAAGCATGGGATTCACCACATAAATTAACTGAAATCATATATGTCCATACACCCAATCCAAAACATGTCCATATATTCTTCAGTTATGCCCAGGACATGATTTGAAATAATAATGAGATTTCTGCCTTTTAGTAACAATTCTCTGTCCTTTCCCAGATTTGTCCCCACATATGATAGGCACCAGAAAATCTGGACACTCATCAATTTCTTAAAAAAAAAAAAACAGATATGTATACACCCTTGAAAAATTTCACTAGTAGTCTTAACATACAGCATCATGTTCCCATTCAATGGGCACGTTTCTTCATTTTCCAAAAACTGTGGCAAAAAAGTAAACTAATTGTAAAGGATCACTTTTTTAAAATATTTTTTTTAATTATTTAATTTTTTAAAATAACAAACATGTCATACTCGTTCTCTTTTTGGGTCCCCTGCTGACTCTCCTGGCTCCCCCCCCCTCCATTGTGTGCCCCCATAGCAAGCCACTTGCTCGTACTTTTGCCCATGGGTCCCACTGCTGTCTCTGCGCCAATGTGGAAGGTGAGAGCTGGGAAAGCCGCTGCTCTTGTTCACATACATCGCTGGATTGAGATCGGGCTCCGATGAGTATAAGGGGTGGCTGGGGGAATTTGTCCACCCCACCCCAACCTCATGTGACTAGGTTGGAAAAAAGTTGTGTACTATTTTCATACTCATGAGGAGTAACAGAATGTGCAATTGTAAGTATGCCCAAGCTGTCGGTGAGAGATAATTTGTTATAATGACAACTTTGTGGGAAAAAACAAACTGTATTTACATTATTCATTTTGGCAAAAAGTGGCAAGTGTTCAAATCGCAAAAATTAGATCTTCAAAATACTTACCAAGCCTTGGACTAAATGTTACTAGATTTTGATTGTACAAAAATAAAATGGAAAGTATGAAAGCTTGTGAAATCACCCTGTTCTCACATAATCTAATTACCGTGGTACCACAAAACCTGGAGCAGGTGTTAATTGTTCGAGCTGCATGGTTGCAGGTGTGAATTGTTGGGCTTTCCGATCAGGTCCTCCTGTCAGTTTTTCAGAAGAACCTGATCAGAAGCTCCATATGGGCCTATGGACATTTCAGGGCCATCTTTAAAATTGATTGGACCCTAGGCAAACATTTTTTTGGGGACCCTCTAGCTGCCACCCCTCCGCCAGCCCCCCACTCTGAGACATACAGTAAATAGCAGCTAGACTCAAAATCAGTTTACTGCAGCAGATCAGGCAGCAATTGGTT